GTAGCTATTCCTGCTATCTCATAGACACTCCTCCCCCCTGTCTATTGTGGTGTGCAGGGTGTGTGTGTGTGTGTGTGTGTGTGTGTGTGTGTGTGTGTGTGTGGAGAGAGAGAGAGAGAGAGAGAGAGAGAGAGAGAGAGAGAGTCTTAATATATAGCCCAGGCTGGCTTCAGAACATTGAGGCCCACTCATGCCAAGTGACTCGCTTGTCCCAAGATCACTATCTGGTTAGCAGGGGTGAATCGGTCCCCCGACTGTCATTGCTTCTATTGCAAGCTTCAAAATGCACTAATTATTGGTAACTTATTTCACTAAATATAAGTAAGAAAATATATGTCTGATAAGACCTTGATAAAAATGATAAACGTATATCCCAATACCGCTCACTGGTTTTCCTCTTAGTTTCCCAAAACATACTAGACAAACAATTTAAGCTTTGCCAGGAGAGAAAAGTTAATTTAAAAATGGAGCCAAAATTTGTTCCAAGCCTGTGCCCCATTCGCTGTGCTGGCCACGTCTGAATGGGTTACTGGATTTGATTGTTGTGGCTTCAGTGTGAAGCAAGCCCCCAAAGGTTCCTGTGTCAAAGCTTGTGTGACTGTCAGCGATGAACAGTGACTGGACCATGAGGGTGACAACCTCATCAATGTGTTTAGTTCATTGATGAACTTCTAGCTGAATGGACTGTGAGGAGATGAGTGTGGCTGGAGGAAGTGGGTCCTTGGGAGTGTGGGTTTGAAAGCATATCTTGTTTTCAGACCCCTCCCCTGCCTCTTCCCATCTTCTTCTCTCTCTGTCTCTCTCCTCTTCCTCTCTCTTCTCCATGTGTCTCCTCCTCTCTATCTCTCTGTCTTATATGTTGGTTCTATCTCTTTTCTCTCCCTCTCTCTTCTCTATCATGTGTCCTCTCCCCCTCTCTCTGTCCTCTCTCTTTCCCTCCCCCTCCTCTCTTCTTTCTCTCTTCTCTCCTCTCTCCTTTCTCTGTGTGTCCTCTCCCTTTCTCTCCCCCTCCTTCCCTCTTTCTCTCTCCCCCTCCTTCCCTCTTTCTCTCTCTCCCTCCTTCTTTCTCTCTCTTCCTCCCTCCCTCCCTGGCTGCTCTACTCCATCACACCCTTTCTGCTTGATGCTGTAACTCACTTCAAGCCCAACCAAAGGAGCCAAGCCAGCTATACTCTCAAAACTCTCAAACTGTGAGTGAAAATAAATGTTTCCTCCTTTTAATTTATCTCTCTTGGGTAGTTTGTCACAACAACAAAAAATGACTATCACATTAATCCTCACAAAAACCCAAACAGGCAGCATTAACACTTCTTTTATAGAGGAGGAAGTGGAATCTCAGCAGTGTTAAGAGACTAGCTCAAGAAGCACAGCTTTTAAGCAACAAAATCAGGATTTGAACTCAGATCTCTTGAATCCGAAGCCAATATCTTTCTACTATTCTATGGCATTACTTTTTAAGGGAGGTTGGCTTGTTGGGGCTAAAGTGACACAAGAGTTCATGTCAGCACCTAGGTGGTCAAGGTGATTCCCAAGGTTCCACACCCCACACAATAGTAAGTGCCCTCCATTCCACCCGAGTCTGGTTCTCTGAGGTGTCCAGCCTCTGAGTAGTTGTGGCTGACCCCAAAGCAATGTCCCGGTGCTCTAGAGAGGGTAGAGGAATAATCAGAAGGAAGGGAAAAGGGGCTTCCCTGTCCTACTCAGAGGGGTGTGACCCCTTCCACTTAACCAGAGGCACAGAGCACAGAGGTCTGTCCTGAATGTCTACTTGTAATACAGAACCCTCCCTTTCTGCGTAGGATTTTATGAGAACAAATGAGGTAATATACCTGAAGTGTTTTGAGAGCTTTCTAAGTGCAACATAAATATAACAATGGAGTTGCTGATGCTGATAACAATAATAACAGTAGTGGCGATGGGACTACATCCACAGTCATAATTTAAGGGAATATTCAAAATGAGAAAGCACTACCAAAATCAATCTACTGAACTTTATTTAGAAGAGAAGCTGCTAATAAAAATGTTATGGGAATGTGAACTCTTGGGAAATAATGATGATTTTCTTCTATTAAAAGGCTCATCAGATCCATTTCCAAAGCACAGCTCAGTTATTTGTGGGCTCTTTGCCACCAAGTGCAACAAGTCCTCTGTTTGAAGAGAAGCAGTGGCTGCCCCTTTTGTGTGCTGAAGCCCTGGACTCTGGAGACGGAAGGGACCTGAGTTTCTGGACACACTAGCAGACACCTCGTTTATCAGAGGGCTGATGCGAGTAAAGCATCTTCCCGAGCTTCTTCTTTCTCTCCTGTCATTGCTCCACCCCATCAGCAGCTGCTGTGTAGCTTGAGTTTAAAGTCATTAGTAGTGGAACAGTAATGGACTGGGACTGCCTTCCTCACGTTGGGAAAGAGTCCTTTCCAAAGATAAATCAACAGGGAATATGCACTCACATAGTGTGGTCTGACCCTGCTGCTCACCTTGCCTAGTTTAGGGACTTGGGGATGGAGGGTGAAAACAGACTAGGGAGAAGGTAGGAAGAGACAGGGTAAGTGGGAGCAATTCCAAACAGTCTGGGGAATGAAGAGCTTAGTTAAGTGAAGGTGGAGCCCCTTCCCAGGGCCAGGCAACCATTGCATCACCATCGCCCTGTTCTTTGGTTTTGACAGTGGCATGATAAGAGAGGACTACTTGACTTGCATGTGATTTCAACCTTGGAATTTTGAGAGTCCCCAAACCATAATAATTTCTTAGGAGAGGTAAAAAAGAAAAAACAAGGGCAGCTTTGTGGAACTTGGTGATGCACCTTAATTCTGAGCTCTTGGAATGCCCCGCCCCGTTGAAAAAGAAAAGCCCACCATGACAACATGGATTCCAGGGACAGTAGCCAACTGGAGCGGCTACAGAAGGAAACTCATGACCGTTATCTTTCTTTAAGGATGGGATTTACCATTGAAACTGCTGAACAACACGCCCTCCTGGAGCAGTGCTGGGGCTACACACACAGCCGTGGGCCACGGACACCATAGTGGGTCATAGGATGAGTATGGCAGCCTTCCGTGCTCTGCTTCCTGTACAGAAGAGGCCAACCACGACAGACGAACGTGAAGCTCTCCACCCAAGCTCACTGCCCAAACGTGCCATCTCCTGGTAATCACAGAAAGAATGTACTCAGGACACCTCTCCTTAGTTATTGTGGATAAACTCAAAATTTTATCCATAAACCTGAAAATGCCACCGTTTTTATTGACTCTGAAAACCGAAAGGGCCCACCACTGACAGTGATAGACTACTGTCTTAACTGATCAGATATGGCTGTTAACAGAAGCTGGTACTTGGTATCTTATAAAAAGAAGAAGTTTATTTGGCTCACAGTGATAGAGACAGGAAAGGCCAAACAGCATTGCCTTAGCATCTGCTATTGGCCCCATGGCTGAGAAAGGCACATGGTAAAGAAGAAGCAAGACTCGAGGAGGCAGCAGGCGTCCTCTTTTCAAACAACACATTCTCTGAAGAACTAATCTGGTGCTTCAGGAGCTAAATGAGTTCCTTCAAAGAGTGATACCTCCAAGGCAAAGTCATCTTCCACCTTCAGCAAGGCCCCTCTTCCTATAGACCCAGCACCTACTTATGTGCTTACACTGGGGATCAAGCTTCATCTGGCAAACTGTTATGGTTTGGATCTTAAATGTCCCCCAAATATCATGTGCTTAGTCACCAGCCTGTGGTCCTACTGAGAGGTATCACAACCTTCATGTGGTAAGGCCTCGTAGGAGGAAATTAGCTCATGGGGAATGTGTCCTTGCAGTGGATATTGGGATCTTGGCCCTAAGTCCTGCTTTACTTTGCTTTGTAGCCACCACAAGGTGAACAGATCTCTTCTTCTGCAAGCTCCCACTACGATGTACTGTGCCATGACGGGTCCAAAGTCACCATAGATTGAAATTTCTGGAACCATCAGCTAAAATAAATCTTTCATCTTTTTAAGTTGGTTTTCTCATAGGTGGTTTTTATCATAGTGAGAAAGCTGTTGGAAGACATACTAACGCCATAACTAAACCACAACAGACACTTCGTGCCCTCTGCATTCCATGCTCCAAAATAGATTCTGTGGAACTGGGGAGATGGCTCAGCGATTAAGAGCACTGGCTGCTCTTGCAGAGGACCTGGGTTTGATTCCCAGCACCCACACGGCAGCTAACTCCAGTCTGTAACTCCAGTTCCAGGGGATCCAACGCCCTCTTCTGACCTCTGCAGGCATTACACAACATAGGTTCACTCATATACATGTAGGCATGGATAAAATTTTAATATGAAACACTACACTTTGGACATTTAACACTTTTGTGGAGATGTTCTCGGCCACGGCATCCCCTAGGTCCTGTTTCTATGTCTTCCTGCCCTTATTTGATAGAGATTTTAAAAAGCACTGCTCTGGGTGGGGACTGTAACTAATAGCAAAACATTTGCCTGACACACACAAGGCCTTGAGTTTGATCCCAAACACACCACACACACACACACACACACACACACACACACTCACTCATCTAACACACATACACACACACACACACACACACACACACAAACTACACACCACACACACTCCCAACAACAATAACAAAGAACTGTTCTAAGTTAGCTGGCTTCCCTCTTGACCACCCATTCTCTAAATAAACTAATCCATTTTGTTCTCTATGGAATAGATTTTGGAATTTTTAAGTCTCCACATATTCTATAGAAATATATTTCTAGAGTTGTATTCCCTGAAGACTTCGAGGACAGAAAAGCATGCTTCATTTAGGATGATTGAACGAGAGTCTACATACAGCAAGAGAGTAAAAGCCCTGACTTCCAGAAGGCTCTTAGCCTTGTTAATTAGTGTTTCTCTTGCCCTCTGGCAGACTTCCTCTACCTAAAGGCACAGAATGGTCGGCAGCTCCTTTCCCTTCCTTTCCTCTTTCTGTCGTCATCTAAATAATGGCCCTGGGATTCCACTCTCGCCTCATCCCACAAAGACATTAGTCTGTTTCTAGAAGAAAATGAAGACATTCCTTCTTATACAGCAACTCTTCCCATAGATATGCCAGCACTACCACCCCTATTCTGCCAGAGAGAACCCCATCACCTTGTGCCCCTCATCCACTCACTGGTAAATCCAGTACACGGAAGGCTGCCAGAGAGTAGATGACACAAGGACTCTCTGGCCATACCAGCTTCATGCTATGGCTTTTGACCCTGATCGCCAAAGTAAATCCTTCCCTCCTCCAGCCAGGCAAAGAAAAAGCGATCTGTTTTACAAACACTGCCTACACTCATTCACCATGATGGCAGGAGGTGCCTGGTGCTAGCTCAACACATGATACTTGGCTAAATGTGTTCTCCAATCTAAAGACACATTCAACTCAATCCAAGACCACTTCATCTTCATTTATTCAGACCCACAACCAAGTACCAATTTGACCTTGGATTAACAACAGACTCCCTAGAAAGTTTGGGTCTGCAGTTGGGAACATAACTGCTCAGCCTCTGACAATGTTCATGCTGTTCAGACCCTCACTGAGGTTCCAACTGTATTCTGAATTGAGGGATCTGCTGGTTAGTTTTTGTCATCTTGACACAAACTAGAGACACCTGAGAAGAGGGACCTCAACCGAGGAATTTCCTCCATCAAATTGGCCTATGGAAATGTCTGTGAGGCAGTTTCTTAATTGCTAATTGATCTAAGTGGGCCCAGCCCACTGTGGATGGTTCCGTCCCTAGGCAGGTGGGTCTAGGTTATATAAAAAAGGTAGCTGAGCAAGCCAGGGTAAGCAAGCCAGTAGGCAATCTTCTTCCATGGTCTCTGCTTCAGCTCCTACCTTGGGTTCCTGCCTTCAGTTGCTGCCCTGACTTACCTCAGAGATGGATTGTTGCTTGGGAGTTATAATGTGAAATAAACCCTTTCCTCCCCAAGCTGCTCTTGGTCACACAATAAATAAATCACAGCAATCAAAACTAACTAGAACAGGAATCACTCTCAAGGCAAGGGAGTACTATTTGCCCAAGCACACTGAATTTAAATATGCTTTAATAAGATGGAAGACATCTGTCAGAAGGAATGCTCAAGAATGTTTGGGTTTACCACAGATTGCTGGGTAGATGTCTTGTACACAGGGAATTCAATGTCATTGTCTATTTTTCAGATTAACATTGCCATAATGTATTCCCAAGACCTAGCATTATAATGTGACTTGCTGAAGTATTGGATTGGCTGTTATAGCTTGTCTCCTGGAAGTGTCATTTATTTTCAGTATATTTCTTTTTTTAATATTTTATTTCTTTTTTTAAATTTTTTTACGTGTATATTGTCTGCATGTAGGTAAGTGCACCCGTGTCATGCAATGCCCATGGAGGACAGAAGAGGCTTCGGAGCCCCTGGAACTGGAGTTACGAACAGTTGTTAGCTGCCATGTGGGTGCTGGGATTCAAACCTGGGTCTTCTGCAAGAATAGTTAGTGTTCTTAACCGCTTGAGCCATCTCTCCAGCCCCAATTTTCAGTGCATTTTTTAAACCATAGATACAACTATATTCAACTTTGTCCACAAAGTGTGTTACCTAGACAATTACATTGTTCACAATAAGGACTAGGGAGAGCAAAAAGTTTCAAAGAACTTTCATTCACTTACTTCTCCCACTCTTTTAATTAAAAAAATCATATAACAGAGCAGATTAAAAAGAACTAAAGCGAAACAGAAAGAAGCGAATCAGGAAACAGCTTTCCCCTAATGGGTCTTCAAACTGCCACCTCCACCTTCCTCCCCCTCAAGTGGTATTTTAAATCTTTTTTCAAATTTAAATTGTTTTATTTTTGAGAATTTCATGCATGAGTACTGTGTTTACATTATTTCTGTCCTTCAGAGCATATCCTCTGAGACCTTTCTACCTGGCCTTCATGGCCTTAATGGAGGAGAGTGAGCTCTGCATGTCTCTACCCATGACCTCTACTGAACACTCTGTGTGCACTGAGGAGAAAGATCAAATGCCTTGACTTATTCTATTATTTTCTTCACTCCATTCAAACTAGACCTGACTTCCACTTTCTCCCAGACCTTCAGAAGGAGGATGCCCAGGAAATCAAAGCATGAACTCTTTACTTTTAAGCTTCAGGCGCTCGTCCCTGCAATGAAAGACTCCTCCAAAATAATGTTGGCTTGGACTCACCCCGCCGCTGACTTTAAAATACAACCCCTACCTGAGGTGTGGCCTGGCGGTGTCTCCAGAACATAGGATCATTTACTAACTTCCTCAGTATGAGAGGCTTAGTGCCGAAGCCTGTCCCCTTAGTACCCTTTCCCTCCACAGTATAGCTAGAGATAACCTAGGAGGCTCTCTGCCTAGCTCCTTAAAGGTAAACAGAAGTGACTTTAAACATTCAGCAGCCAGTGAGTAGGATGCTTGTGCCTTGGATACTGATGATCCCCGTGCGAAGTGGCTTTGCTCCTTTTCCACTTGGTCCTTCATTTAGACTATCTGGCAAAATCATTACAGGAAGAAGGACCCGCTTTGGCTCACAGATTAAAGTCCATTGTGGCAGGGGCTACTTGGTGGAGCTCATGGCTGTGGAACTGAGATAGGTACTCCTCACATCTCAGGGGACCAAAAGGCAGTCGATCAGGCCAGAGGTGGGCCAGGCTATAACCCTCAAACCTCCAGCTTTCCTCCAGTCACCCTCTTCCTTCAGTACTAGAGATCCTACAACGTCCCCAAACAGTTCACCAGCTGGAGGCCAAGTATTCAAACACATGAGTCTGTGGAGAACATTTTACGTCTTAACAGAAGCCCCTTTCACTGAGAAGATTCTCAGCATTCCTGGATAAAGCAACTCAGATTCATGCTTTTTAACCTCTCCGTCAAATGCCATTATCCATACTCTACCAATAACATTGCCCACCCCAGGTCTAGGAGACACATCAGGGCACAAGAAGCTCTTCTTGTGGCAAACCTACCGATTAGTGTACAGTTGAAGACCAAGGACTCGAGAGTCCTCCATACATTCAGTTGGGATATCCCACTTTGAGCTTCCCTCTGCCAAATGGGTTGCACAGATTTACCAGGATCTTGCTCTGCTTGCCCTTTGTTCTCTGGTCCTCCTGTTTTCTGTTGAATGGATTCCAAGAACATCGTGTCAGAGTTCATTGCAGAATAAAGTGAAGCGACACCAAAGAGAAGGGTGAGTGACGTCCAAAGGGGCCAGTGTCCCGATTTACAGCAGAAAATGGGCTTTTTATACCGTCTCTGGACGGTTACGGGGAGCAGCTTCATGACGTGCAGTTTTCTGTCCAGGTAACTGACAGCCCTATTTGGATGAACTCTTAAAGGAGGAGGGAACATATCATGAGTGCACCCTAAAGGGCACTGGCGGCATTATTGTCCAAGGAGACGGCATCCTATAGATTTGAAAAAGCATGGTCAGGGGCTCTTTCCAAAGAAAACACGGGTTTCCTCCACCCCTGGGAGGTCTCAGAGTCATCACCTGGCTGTTCAGACAGGCAGAGGAGAGCCTCCTGAAGGTGGGGTGCTGCCCAGGAAAAGCCCCAAGGGAAGGATTTGTCACTCAGATTCCTGAGTAGGTGAAGTAGAAGGATCACCTCAGACATGGGGGTTGGGCCTTAGTGAGGGGCCTAGTCCCCTGAGCTTAGCCCTGGTGATGGACTGAGACCAGCCTTCAGAAGGTGAGGGTCTTCCCTGGGGAACTGGGGCCAGCCCCTCCGGGTGCCCCAGGCCCCTCTGTGGCAGGATCACAGTCTCAGCCCCTTCCTTTGGCCGGTCCTGTGGGATTCTGGGGTGGCCTGCTAGAAATCACTTTTGGAGACCCGCAGGTGTGGACTCCCGGTCGCCTTTGGCACCCGGCCGCCACAGGGCTGCGGGGAGGCGCGGAGCGGCGCCTGCGCTGTGCTGGCTGGGGAACTGCTCACTTCTCACCGCGTGGGGTGTGTGACAGGCTGGGGAAGATGCAGACAGCGGAGGCGGGCGCCGGCAGGCGGGGCGGGATGGCGGGCGTCTGGCGGCGGTGACAGCGGGTACCTGCCTGCCGGCCTCGCCCGCGCCCCGCCTGGGCTGACAGCCGCCTGCTAATTGGGGAGGCGCGCGGACCGGCAGGGTTTGCAGGCTGGGGGCCCGCGCCCCGCGGTGCTCACACCCTGGGTGCTGGGGGTGCGGCCGCCGGCCTGTCACCGGCCTGTGCGACAAGCCCGGCCTGTTGGGCTTTTTCATTAAGAAGAAGAAGAAGAAAAAAAAAACTCAAGGGGGAAAAAGGTGGAAGAAAGCAGCCTGTAATTGGGCTTTGAAAGGGAGGTTACTGCTTGTCAGAGGAGGCGTAAGCTGCGACCAAGAGATGCCATTAGCATCAGACTCCCACGGAGGGGAGCTAGGCCACAGCCCTTCCTTCCTTTGCCCTCCCCGGTGAGTGGAGTGGATCCCTTTTCCGGATGCAAAGGATGAAGTGTGGGTGCAGCCTGGGCGCTGGGTGACTGCACATGAACGTAGGCCTCCGTAGATGCGTGCAGCTCTAAGTGATAACTGTGGTTTCCTCACACACACACACACACACACACACACACACACACACACAGAGCGGAGCACACACAGCTCAGGGCCAGGAGCACACATCGCCCAGGGCCAGGTGACAAAGACCCACTATAGTTAGAGGTAGGGCTGGTACAGCTCCAACCTTAATCTGGGGTTTAGAGTCTGTTGGGGATCCTGCCTTTTCACTTCTCTCCCAGCTAATACCATTTCGGCCCACAGATATGACTCAAATCACATTCTTAGAGATTTACTCATTTTGATTCAGGCTTAGCTCACAATTATACAGCAAAGTCTCCTGGGAGGGCTTATATGTTAAGCTCTGCCAGTAATTTCTCCCTTAGCAAGAATAAGGGAAATAAAGATTGTGGATACCTGGAGCTGGTGTGTGTGTGTGTGTGTGTGTGTGTGTGTGTGTGTGTGTTGGTGGCAGTGTAAAGAAGGGAGTCTGATAAGAGGGAAACATAGGGTGGTGGGACACATGGACAGGGGCTGAGAACTCCACAGTGCATGTCTAAGACCCTCCCAACTAATTTCATTGACATTAGAAGTTGGCCTCCATCAGACTTGGACTTTTGGGCTTCCCCCTTCACACCTGTGGTCAGGTGAGGGTCTGCTGCTGGCCCATCGTGGCCTCCCTCAGGTGCTGGCAGCTCCCACAGCTGTCATTCTCCTAGAGTGACAATGGGACCTGCGGGGAAAGCTGCCACGTCAGCACCCAGCCGGCCTCACACTCCAGCAGCTAATTAAAGCCAGGAAGGTAATTTATTGCTGAGGGAGAAAGTGAGGGAGGTTTGGCTTAGCTGAAATGGCCCCCAAAGAGTTATGGAAGCTAAAGTGGGTTTTCAGAAGCAAAAGTTAATTGCTCTTCACTTAGCATTTCAGTGTCATGAGGCTCTGAGTTACACATACACTGAGTGGAAGCCTTTACCCAGACATGGGGTGGGGAGGACAGGGACTCAGTGGGAGGTGGGTGTGCCTTACCCAGGGTTTCCAGGTGGCTGGAGGGCCCCGACCATGGATTTAAGGTGCCACTGGGCCTACTTCTTAGAATGCAGTCCCAGCAGGCATCTGTGTAGGCATGGGTTTAGGGGCAGGGGAGCTCCTGCCTGTGACTCTGGAGACTGGGGATGTGGGGAGGGGAAGTACTCAGTTCTACTTTGAGAACTCAGTGACTTGTGTGCACTCTGCCCCTGCCAGGAAGTCCTCTCATTTAATGATCATGAACCTATATGGTCACTATGCTGTTCCTAGGTAGCTAGCCAGATAGCCGTAGGCTTGGAGCCATTGGAGATGGAACCTCTCTCACTATCAGCTTTGGACCCCATCTTATGTTTTCCTGATAACCCATTCATATTTTTAAAGGAAAATTATCACAATTGTCCCCTCTTAGAGTTTGAAATGCCGCATGGAAGGGAGAAAGCATCATTGGTATGGTCAGGGAGCCATACCAATGAAATCCCCACAGTATGGTAGTCTAGTGATACCTGCAATTACAAAACCAGCTGATATGCCAGGGCGCACTGAGGTTGGGGGTGGGAGGTGGAGGGATGGAATCAGGGAAGGAGCTGAAGAGTTCCACCTCAAGATGAATCAGTGGATGCTGAGGGAGGGAGAATCGGGTTTATTTTTAAGGGACTAGTTCCCTGAGAGGCTATCAATCCCAAACTGACAGCCCTAAACATGGGTACACACAAGCACCACTAAATGAACTCAGTGCACTATATATGTGTCTATATATAGTATATATGTATATTTGTAAATGTATGTGTGTATATGTAGCAATAATAATCAAAGAAGAGCACAAGAAGCCGAGAGGGAGTGGGGGGACATGGGAGAAGTTGGAGGGGGACTGAGAGAGATGGAAATAATGCAAAGACAATCCTCATGTATGAAATTCTCAAAAATAAAAAAATTTAAATAAAAAAAAAGATTTAAAATACCACATGAGGGAGGAGGGTGAAGGTATCAGTTTTGAGACCCATTAAGGGAAAGCTATTTCCTGATTTACTTCTTTTTTATTTATTTCAGTTATTTTTAATCTACTCTATGATTTTTTTGACTAAAAGAACAGGACCCTAGTCACACCCGTGGCTTTGGGTGGAGACATGGAATGTTAAACGGCCCCAAATATTATAAGATCACCCTGGAGAGCTACACTCACCTGCCACCACTGCAGGCCTGGTGCTTTCTCTGCTCTTGTGTCCTCACATCTGTGTAGAAGGAAATCTATTCTCCCTGGCACACATGGGTGGTTTGGGCCATAGGCACAGAAGGCTGGGTAGGAACACTGTGTGTCCATCCTGGAAATGGGGAGATCATTTGGGATGTTAGTGTGGGTGTAGGAGAGGAAGAGAGAGTGGGCCCGGCTGGCAGAGCATGAAAGAGATGAATAAGAAGTGAGGCTGGGCTCAATAATTCTCCAAAGGGAGGGACTGCCCTTATTAGTCTTTCTACTTATCCTGACCACAGTCAGCACTCAGTTAAACACTTGCTAAATGAAATAGAGATGGGAATCACATAGGATGGTTCTTTTAGTCTGCAGTGCCAGACAACTTTGATCCTAATACCTAAGTTAGGCATCAGTTCAACCTTCCTTACCCCCTACAGATTGTGTCACAAATCAAGGAGGCATAAAAGGGAGGATGCTGAGGAAGGAGATACAAGAAAGACCAGAGCTGCAAGAACACACTTGGAACAAACAGCCTGTTCCTCTTTGCCTCTGTACCGGGCACTCTGGTATGTACAAGGATGTTCAAGAAGCGCTAAGAAACCATCATATTTCAAAATTTGCAAAACCAGCACTAGAGAAGGATGAAAGGAAGAGGGAGAAAAATGGCACACTCCGAACTGTCTCTGTGTGACAGAAAATCTTTCAAGCAAACTTTTATCTGCAAGTAGCAGTGCCCACCCCTCCCCCTCTCCCCATAAAGAGGAATATAAGGCTCCTGTCTAAGGCAATGAAGACCATATATTGAAATCATTAATTATGACCCAATTCGTGCTTATATTGTGAAAGGTAATCATTTGCCATCTAAGAGATGCCCATCCCTTTTAAAACCACTAAGGCTCTCAGGGAGTGTTCAAGAGTTTACAGTTCTGTGTTTGAATTCTACACTTGCTTTTTTTACCACTGGGTTCAAAATTCAGTCAACACTTGATAAGTTCTGATACCAGTGTTCAAGCCATGGGGTCTTCACTCCTTCACAACAGACCTAAGCCAGGGCCTGGATAATAAATTTGCTAATTTTCTTCTCAGATTTGTGTGTACATGCTTATGCCATAACATATGCATAGACCTACATCATTTTATGAATGGAGTTAAAAGAAGAATAGAAGGACCCAGGCCAAGTTGAAGAAGAGAACAATCAACTTCATCTCTCCCAAATGTCCAAGGCCTGGGTGAAGGCCAACGCTGAGGTGCACAGCCCATAGCTTCACTTGAATCTTAAAGCCAAGCCAATATAAGCACACACATAGGGACCAGGGTCCTCCTCCACTGCAGTGCCCAGGGCCAGTCCAGAGTCAGAAGCCAGAGCCCAGAGCTCAGAGCTGGTCACTCTTTCCTCCAGAAGCTGTTCGGGAGGACTTGGTTCTGAATGGCTTCTTCCATTTCCATCTCTTGCTCTAAGATTCGAGCTGGACTAAAGAAAGACACTAGATTTCCTTAGTGGACATACCAGGTGCTCATTGAAAGCATGCCAAACACTACTGACATCATAGAATGGGCTGGAACAGACAGAAGGTACTTTAGAAAAGCCTTAGTCATCCAAAGAGACCTCTCCTTTCCCCAAGCTCTCCTCACCCCCAGAAGCAAAGGAACTTCCATAGATCATAGAGTGTTCCACAGACTATTCCACAGCATAGAACACAGTCTGCAGAATAATGTATAAATGGCATAAGGCATAGTCTATAACATATAGCCTAGTCTACAGCAAACACCACAGTCTACAGCATATGGCGTGCAAGGCACAGCACATACATAGCATGTAGCACAGCTGACAGGCTAAAGCATAAAGCCTAGTGTACAGCATATAGGCCAGCCTCTAGCATGTAGTACATACAGCATAGCATGCACTGTGGTGTATAGTATGGTCTATAGCATACAGTACACATGGTATATACAAGACAGCATACAGTAGAGAGCATGCATAACAGTGCATGACATATCTATAGCTCTGCTTACAGCATGGCTTCTTAAACTGTGGGTCATGATCTGACACGGGGCCTCATAACTGAATGTGGGGGTCATGAAAACTTCAGCAAGGTTTCTGAATGTGCAATGACCATAAGCTCATTGGTTCCCCAAGCTGGACTTGGATGGAACAAGTGTTTGCTGGTGTCCTACCTGAGGTGAAGAGAAGGTGAAGTGGAAAAGTCGCTCAACAACCAGGCACTAGGCAGGAGGTTAAATATTTACTAGGTCCCTGAATCTCTTCTTCAAGACAGGTATCGTTATCTTCACAAAGAAATCATCTCCCGTAGCGCCCAGTCAGCACGGGCTGAGATGGAACTGCAGTCGCACTTCAGAATACAGTAGACTCACCTGAGCAGAGTGGAGAGTTGAATCACAACAATAATTGAATAACTGTCAGGAGCAATTTCCACAGCATTTGCTGAGCACATGCAAAAGAAAAAAAAAACATTCAAATTGATGGTGTAAATGAGCACAGCCTCTTTGGAGAGCGATGAGGCAATATCAGTCAAAATTCTAAATGCACAAATCCTGAATGCCACAGGTTTTCACTCATATGAATGTATCCAACTGTACATGTATGCTCACTGGAGCTTTAAGAGAAAAAGAAGATGGGTGGGCCTACCTAAGAGTCCATTAACAGGTAATAAATTAAATAAACTGGCTCATCCATAAAATAAAATATTAAGGCTATGCATACATTAAGAAGAATGTGTTAAGAGTATTTTTCACTAGCACGGATGCAGGTCCAAGTACAGCCTGCTTAGATGGAAGAGCCTTTTGCATATAGCATACGCATAACATGTCTACACTGAACACGTCTAGAAGACACACACATTAACAATAGCTACTGCTAAGGAGGAAGTGTGAAACAGAGGTAGGGGAGTTCTGAATTGTTTGCTTTTACAGACCCTCTGTTTCTGTCAGTTTTTGTAATACTGATTACAGGTCACTGTGTGCCACCATGTTAGCTATCTTTGCGTCACTGTGTGACAAATCCTTGAGAGAAACTATTTAAAAGGAGAAAGATTTCTTTTGACTTACAATTTCAGAGGCTGAGTCCATGGTTGGCTAGGCCAAGAGGGTGTGATGGATGGAGCTGAAGTGTTCACCTCATGGCAGTGGGAAGCAACGGTAAGGCAGAAAGGGGTTAGGACAGGACACAGCCCCCAAGGCCACACTCCCAGTGACCTACTTCCTCACCTCCAAATGTCCCCATCACTTCCCAATAATGTCACCAAATTCATTCCGTCAACAAATTAACCCACCAATTAGGTCGGAGCCTTCATGGTCTAATCACTCAGTGAAGGGTATTCCAGCTGGGGACCAAGTCTTCAGCAATGAGCCTTTGGGAGGGCATGCACTTCACATCCAAACCATCATTTCCACCTGTTAGAAAGCAATCCTCCACAGATAAGGGAACTTACTGAAAACAAGAAACCAAGAGCCTCAATATGGACCTGCCTCCGTGGAACCTAGAATCCCAGATTTGAGCACCTCAGTAGTGACCACAGTAGCAGTGGAGTTCGGCATGAAGACTCAGGCTTCACCCGTACCCGGTCCTTTCTACAAGACCTCAGGCGCCTGCAGGAAAGTAGGAAGATCATAGTGGGCTGCAGTGCCTGGACCTGGGACACGTGCAGCTCCTCTCAGAGCCTAAGGTTAAACCCTCCTCTGTAAAGTGGGAATGGTCCTAGCATCCACTGAAGATGGCTGGGAAGGTACATTAAGCAAAGAGTGAAGAATCACTTCTTACAGGCACCACCAGGATGGAAAGTGACAAAGGGAACTTCAACCATCTGGAATTGACCCTTTGGAAAAACTGGGTCATCAGAGGAGGAGAGTCCCACCCAAGCCTGGCATGCCCCTCCCCATCTGCTTTAACTTGGCAAAGTGCTGAGAACTGCCAAGGGCTCACACACTCTCCAAAGAACATCTCCTCCCTCCTGGGGACTGGAGGCTGGGATTGTGTAGCCAAAGAAAATGGCGTGCCTGTCAAGTGGCCTCTGACAATGAGCCTTCTGTGTCCATTTCTAAGTCCCCAAGTAAATATTGGTTCATTGGTCTGCTGATGAAAATCGTTGATGGTGGATCTGATGGCCGCCTGGAGACCCAGGGAGCTTCTCAGCGAGCCGCCCTGATCCCAAACTTAGCCTGTCCCTTGTGCTGCTTTTCTTTCCTCTCCCTCACTTTCCCTCCACGGTCTCCCTGTTCCCACCCTGAGTCAGCCCTCCCCTCCTCCACAGAAATTCACTCCCTCAAGAACACCCCTGGGCTGGGGAAAATAATAATTAACTTAATAGACTGCTATAATTACATTAAATCATGGTACTATCACTGTAGGAACATAGACTCTGGGTGAAGAAAACTGCATTGGAATTCTAACTCCACTACTTACTAGCCAAGTAATGTTGGGTCAGGGAGCCTCAGTCAATTGGGAATGATCTTAAAACAGTTCACAAAGTGTAAAGGATGAGCTGGAAGCTGCTCCCTGGCAAATGTGAGCATGAGTATTCTTGAACTCCACAGGTAAGTTCCCATGTTAATTAAGCTGTTCAACTCCACCTCACAGGAGATGCCAAAGGGGAGGGAAATGAGGCTCCAGGAGGCTGAGCCGTTTCCCAAAACATTCATCTGGTCAGGGGACTCTTGAAGTTCTCTGATCCTGAGCACAGTATTCTACCCACCATGTCGGGAGAGGAGGCAGGGAAGAATGTGTTGAAGGGTCCCTGTGGTCTGGCTCCAGGGCAGGCAAGGCCAAGTGCATGGGTCTTGTCAGACTCCATACTGTCTCTGCTGGCATCACTCAAGGGAAGGTGACAGGTTACATGTACATACAGCCCCCAAAGAGTCAGAGCATACAGCAAGACTGAGTCAGAGACGAAATGAGGTAAGATAAGGAACATGGGGCTAGAGGGCTTCTAACAGCTTGCTGGAACCAGTACCAGACCCACCCTCACTGCTGAGGCTGTCCTCGGACCCTCTGTACATTGAGCACGTGGAGTGCACAGGGCAGAGGGTGGGGCCTCGAGGACTGAGCTCCCTTCACTCCACTGCCTGTCCTCCTCGGGACTGTGGTTCCACTGGGGAAAAAAAGTGTGATCCCTCTTATTTGTGAGAGAAGATGCAAATGCATAGAAATGGGATTTATCTCACAGGTGAGGGGCTCAGATCCCTGTGGGGGTACCAGGAATGTGAGCTTTAGACACCCAACGTGAGAACAAGACTTCCACAAGCTGTCAGAGCAGCAAAAGGTAGAAACCTTCCTTCTGTGTGGGTTCAGAGTGCAAAAGAATTCTTCCTGTCTACTCACTGTAGCATGGTGGAGTTAAAACAGCTTCGTACACTGCGGGTTTACGCCTCCTCCACTGGGTATTTTGATTACATAATAGAGCATGACAGGAAGCATCAGCTTGCATCAGAAGGAAATGCGCATGCGCAGTTAAGTGTGGGTGATGGGCCACCGTGGAAAGTATATTTTCTTGCTAGGGATTATGGCCCAATTTTGAAATATACTGAGTTGCAACATCAGGGGAATGACCCTGGAGGCTTCTTGTTCAGAAGGAAGGGCGTGAGCAAAGGTGAGGGCTAGAAGGGAAAAAGAAGCCCCTGCAGGGACCATTCCACAGCCAGGACTAGCAGCCACAGCCCTTCCTGCTCTGTACCGAGTGGTCATTGGGTGTCTCCTCTGTAACACCAGGTAGAAGGAAAGACCCAGAGTAGTTGTACCACTCTAAGAAAATCGCTCAGTCTGCCTAAGCCACACCTTCACTGCCCTGTAGTGACAGTCACTGAATACAGGCTATCTCTTATCCTTTCTATAACACTGTAAATATTCTCAAGAGAGAATCCATATCTCCTAATTTTATAAACCATCCCCACTGGTGCTGAGAAAATGTTGGACACATAGTTGACAATTTTATTACTTAACTTGTACAGCATGCTGAGTAAAAACAGCAAAATGCTGGGTGTAGTGGTTCACACATGTAATCTCAGCACTCAGGACCCTGAGGCAGGAGGAGCAGGAACAGGAGGAAGAGGAAGAAGGAGGAGTGGGTGGGAGAGGAGGATGAGGGGGAGGAGGAGAAAAGGAAATCCTTCTTGTACACTGTAAGGATATAAATTAGTACAACTATTGTAGAAAACTATATGGAAGTTTTTCAAAATATTAAAAATAGAACGGCTGTATGATCCAGCAATTTCCCTACTGGGTATATCTGCAGAGGAAATAACATCAGTGCATCAAACAGACATCTGTGCTTCTACGTTACTGCGGCACAGTTCACAATAATCAAGAAACAGAAACAAAATGTCTATCAAGTGATGGAGGGATTAAGAATACGTGTTGCATATAGGCAATAGAATATTATTCAGCCATGAAAAGAAGAAAACCCTGTCATTTGAGGTAAAGTACATGGAACTGGAGATGATTATGTTAAGTGCAATAAGCAAAGTGCCATATGATCTCACCTGTAGGGTTAGTGTCATGGAGGTTGAGAATGAAATGGCTCCCAGAGGCTGTGGAGCATAGGGAGGGGCGAAGGAGGAATGTCTGAGCAGTGGGCAATATCCTGGGGGCAAGAAACTCTGGTGTTCTGGTGTTACACAGTAGGGTTACTTTTATATTTTATTGTTTTGTTTTTTGAAACAGGGTCTCATGTAGCCCAGGTTGGCCTCAAACTCACTATATAGCCAAGAATGGCCTTAAACCGATCCTCCTGTCGTCTCACAAGTGCTGAGATTACAAGCACCACGATGCCAGGCTTCTCAGTAGGGTCACTATAGCTGACTTTAGTGTACTGTACATTTCAAAGAGCTAGAAGAGGGGATTTGAAAGCTTCACTGTACAGAAATAACGAACAAAGCATAATGAATGAAATATATCTATGTTTCAACTCAATGTTAACATCATACAATATGCTGAAGCATCACATTACATCATTAAAATGAACAAGTTGCTTATGTGCCAGTTAAAATTAATTTAAATTTTAATAGAGGAAATCAATAACACCAACACTGGCAACTTCTATACCAGTCCGACAGTACTAAGAGGCAATACACAGAGCCTAGAAAGCCTGCTCTGTGGACATCAAGCTGCGGAGTCACAGAGCCGCCCTCCCGCCTGCCATAGTTCGTGTGACCCCTGCTTGCCGCCATCTTGAAGTCCTTAGTAACTTTTCATAAGGGAGTGGCTTTTCACTTTGCACAGGGCCCTGCAAATGATGAAGGTGGTCTTACCTACATCAGCAAAAACATACTAAAAGATTCATTTTCAGAATGTGCTAACTTCTGTAAGATTTACTCTTCTAGAAGTTATCTGTTGGCCTCCAACAGATTTTCATCTGGTCAAGAGCAAGGCTCCCTCTCCAGCAGCTGACCCCTCTGTGTGGAGTTTCCAAACTGTGATCCTATTAACAGGGT